ATATCGTGCCCGTACGTCGAGCCGTTTAGATTTGTGCCCAACTGTTGACGGACGCACGCCTGGACGCACGGACAATCATGCGATTCTACAAGCTGCACCTGACTATGTCAGATGAGCTAAATACGTAAAACTGATTTCATATTTTCGATGAAATGTTTTAGGCCTATCAAACTATAATTGAACAATGTGTTTAGCAGTCTGACAATATAGCGTAAACGTACCATTACGACACATTCAAGAAAACGATCACACATTTCTACACAACGTTTCACACAAAAGATTTTCCACACACAGACAAACGGTCACAAGCAACTAGCATGGAAAAAAATACCGCGTACATAAAACAAAGAAAAACAGATAAAAATACACATTCTTGACGATGTCACACTTTCACGTCCAGTTTCGACGGCACGAGATTAAAGCTTCCACCAATGAAATGATAGAATTCCCTGAATTTTTTTTTAGCCATTACTGTTCGCAATTTATCTTTCACGTCCTCTGTCTCTGCTCTGTCAGCCTTACCTTCTCTGTTCTGCTCTCCCCTCTCTCTCGCTCTCACACACATAGGTCGAGACTCGGACTTGCCCTCGCAGTATCACGGATGCAACACCGGCCGTTCCTTCCTTCACGCTGACTTACTCACAGTAGCTGTTCCTACGCCGTGTGTATCCACCGTTCTCTCTCCCGCGTCTCGCTCTGTTCCTCCCGTCTCGCTCTCCGCCATTCTTCGTCTCTGTCGATCGCTCTCCGTCGATCGCTCTCCGTCGTTCTTCATTTCTCCTACTCTTGCTCCTGTTCCTGTCTCTCTCTCTCTCTCTTCCTCCCTCTCTCTTGCTCTCTCGTCCGCAAAGTAATAGCCAGGTTTTTGACTGTCACGGCTCCAAAATGTAACGTTGAAATAAAAGTTCGATGTATAAATGATGATATAGAAATCCAAAACTTATGTGTAACCGGAATAAACATTAATAACTGCTCGCACACAGTGTGTCTGTTACGGCCGAATTCAGTTTATTATAAATTTATTGTGACTGTATGGTGCTGCCACTAAACAGTGTAGTTTGTTGAAAGACGCGTAGCGAGTGGCTTACGAGCATGCGCGTTAAGCACTTCCCAGAAGCCAGTCAGGCAGGTACACGCGACAACCGCGAATCACGTATCAGTGTGCACGACATGTTCTTTATTAAGACAACGATTTCCATTAGTCCAGGAGCACGAACCTTGACATTTTCGTTTCGTTCAACCATCACTACATCTAAGGTTTGACTTGACAGGATGGTCGAATAGACCCCCTAGAACACCCCCAGGTAGTATGTAGTCTCAAATTGTGGTATCAGTTTTGTGCTAGAAGCCATTTTATAGACAAGGGTGGGTGACGCGACACCGCTAAAAAATGTGGGGTATAAATAACATAACTCATATCTTTGCTAATAACAGGGCTGCCAACTCTCACGCATTTTGACCAAATCTCACGCTCTCACGCTGATCTTACAATATCTCACGCACAGCAAAAAAATTCTGATATATCTCACGCATGAATATCTTCTATTCATGAATAAAACACTGAAATATCTCAAGCACAGCCAAAAAAATCTTACAATATCTGAAAACAGTCACTTTAGTATGCACCAAATTGCACAAATTGAAGTTATAAAATGCAAAAGCTCCCTACCGTGGCAGGAGGGAAACCCCCCTCCCACGCCCACCACCCGCTCGGTCGCTTCGCTCCTTCACATCTCACTCTCACCTATCACCCAATGTTGGCAGCCCTGTAATAATCAACAAATTTTAATGATTTTTGTTCCGATGGGTCCGTCTTAGAAATTGCTACCATAAAAAAATGTTAACCTACTTAAGAGGTCACTTAAGAGGTCACTACAGGTCAAAAGGTCACGTGACGGGCATTTTTCCTTAAACTGCAGTAACGATTGCCAAATATTAATAAAATGTTGCTACATGAGTTTGCTATGCTTATGTTTATTTTACACTAGGGTGACCATATAA